TATATATATATATATATATATATATATATATGTATATATATATATATATATATATATATATATATATGCACCAATTGACAAATGTTTTTATGTACACACTAACACACATATCAATGCCGCCATTCACAAACATTTGTTAAACGCTGAAATCAAATTCCAAAATATTATTTTCTGGAGATAGTTGGGCACTTGAATTATGTCAAACACAACCCCATACAGTTATTTAGACTATCAAAAATGTCCAGTTCATTAGGAATTAATTAGGTTAAAAGCCATCCTCCTCTTGACAAACGCTGATTGCAGATTGTGAAATCATTTTTTTAAATTAAGATAAAAAAAAATTCTGTTATGTAATGGGAAACCCATGCAATATAACTGATTGTATTTCCTGGTAGGTATATTGTATTTTTGAATTTCTAAAACAACAGCCAATATCACATCAGTACATGTGTTTACTTGTTTTAATTTGAAGTTGTTTGCACGTGATAAAAAACTGTGTTGTTTTGTTTCGTTCATAATAAACTTTATAAGCACTAACAATAACTTCAAGCTCACCCTGTTTTACAAAATATTTTAAAGCTTATCTACTGAATGCAATTATATTTAGCTTGTATTTGATGTTAATCTTTCTGTAGAATAAAGTTCTACCCCTGAGAATTTTTGTTTCCATTTGTACACAACACACAAAATGTGAAGGTTATAATAACAGACGGTAACAAACACAATTGTTTAGAAAAAATTAAAAAGCCACTGTTTTCATCCAATTGTTTTATTAGCTGTAGTTGGATATAATGGCATCACTATGGATGGGTGAAGACAACAGTTATTGACGATGATGAAGGAAGATGATAACGAAGATGATTAGAAGATGATAACGAAGATGATCAGATGATGAAGGAAGATGATCAATTTAACAATGGTCCTAGTCTGGTGACATCACATGTCATGCACTGGTCAACCAAATGTCATTCACAAGATGTACACAGCATTTAAGGTATACTACATTTCATGTACTCAACATAACATGGCATTTACAAGATGTACATTGAATATGTAAAAAAAATGTGCAGAAGAAAAAATGGACATAACATGATTGGTTGAAAAAATGGACAAGTGTACTGACATTTATGTCAATAAGATGGACAAATAGACAAACATTTAATAAGATGTTAATGGATCCTAAACTTTAAATACTTTTAGTTGAATGTATTGTAAAATAGATGTTAACCTATGATGGGAGGTAATCTATTTAAGACTAAATAACCAATGATATGACAGTGAATTAAATACGTCAGGTTGCCCTATAATGCCAACAGTTTATTGTCCTTAAGGGATGGACTGAGACAAGGAATCACTCAACAATCAATTTATATTCATCAATATATTCTTTCTGAGATAACTTCTATGTCTGTCTTGTTGGTTATTTCTAAGACAAAATTTGTTTTAAAATTTACACATGTGGTGTGTTACATATTTACACATTTACAGCAATTAAGCTTTAGAGCCCTTAATTTCTGCTAATGAAATTTATCCTTGCAAAACTAGCAAACGTGTGTAAACTGCATCAATACTAATAACAAGGTAATATTCCTGTATTCAAGTAAGGAACTCAAAATTGTAACCTTCTCGGTGCATTGCTACAATAAAAACTTCATTAACCTGTGGAAATGTTAACTTTTTTTTAATGAGTCCAAATAAAATATAATTTGCACAATGTCTGTGCGAATAAATCTTTAGCTTAACATACATGTGTTATGCCTTGAGACATTAAACATGTATAGTTACATTAACAACTTTTTTTCATTGATTTTTATCTTAGAACATGTTTTTAAGCATCACATTTAAAATTGTATAAGTAGGAATAGATTGATACATAATATTGTATCATTTTTGTTAAGACATTTATAAATAAATTTCTAAATACTAATTCTGAATTTTATTCTTTCTAATAGATATTAGAATAGTTAATTTCAAATCATTACTGTACTAAAATTTAAAAAAATAATTATAGTTTTTTTAGTGTTAACAATCCTGATGTGTTCCAGGTTTTTATGAATGTACATGTAACACATAAACTATGTAACCTCTATTCTCTAGCGTGCGACAACCATACACAAAAATTAAGTAACATTTCTTATGATTGTAACAATCATACACTTACAGTATATAGCCTTAATTCTTATGATTCTAACAATCATACGAACGAATTTAAGTAACCTTTTTTTCTCATGATTGTAAGACACAAATAACTGATGCAACTTTGGGTGTAGAGAGGGAGGTAATGTGGTAGAGTGATGAAGTTTCTACCTGCGAAACTTTTGTTTTATCCAGCAAAACTAGGAGAGATGACGAGCCAATGAAAGGTGAGCTAATGAGGTACACGCAGGGTCAAGGGTCATACAGCACAGCTGACAAGTTTGGCAGATGTTAAACCTGACAAGTTTGGCAGATGTTAAACCTGACTCAACTGACACATTTGGCTGATGTTAAACCTGACACAGCTGACAAGTTTGGCAGATGTTAAACCTGACAAGTTTGGCAGATGTTAAACCTGACTCAACTGACACATTTGGCTGATGTTAAACCTGACACAACTGACAAGTTTGGCTGATGTTAAACCTGACACAACTGACAAGTTTGGCAGATGTTAAACCTGACAAGTTTGGCAGATGTTTAACCTAGTACAACTTGGACACAACTGTGATGTACAACACTTGACCACAAAGTTTGATATTCATTATTTTGTTGGAGTGTACAAAACAGAAAGAAGAGCAAACAAAGTCAAACAGAAAAAAAAAGCTCAACCAAATGGAAAATAAAAGTTGTACTGAGCAGACTTTGAATAAATAAGACAATAAATCATTTCTGTTAGCACTGAGATCATTAGGAATGATAAACAAAACATTATTATTAAATAGGCTGTAGGAATTTGTGTGCATGATGAATGGATTTGGTAACACCCAACATGTTATGTCTGATTTTAAGTATATTTTTTGTAAGAAGTTTTATTCATTACAATTGATGTAAATTTGCAATTAATTAATGAATACAAATTAAATTAGTTATTATTTCAAAATGTTTATACAAAACATAATTAATAAATATCAGTTACCATGCTAATACAAATTAATTTAGTAGATCATTGATGGAAACCATTTTAAAAATTGGCATGTTTATTTCTGATGCAAAATATTTTAGTATATCATTGATAAGGAAGCTTAATTCTGATGGAAATTATTTAAGTATATCATTGATTGGGAAATTTAATTCTGACACAAAATATTTTAAAGCAGATCTATAAAAAAGTCTTAAATTGTTAATAAATCTCTAGTAAAAATGTTAACATGTGGACACTGAAAAAAGGAATGTATTGTTTTGTAAAACAAATTACTGTAAAATGATATGCAGGTAAAATAAAAGTGCAGCCCTAGAAGAAAAAAATATTAACCTCACAATTTACACATTATTTATTTAAGGAATGTCAATAACAAAAAAATATTAGCCTCAAAATTTATACATTATTTATTTAAAGAATGTCAATAACAAAAAAAAATTACAGTATTAATGTTAAATCACAAGTTTAAATGTTTCAATTTAAATATTTATTTCCCTAATTATAAATTCCCAATACCATCATTACCACATTTTCATAACCTAAACCATTTTTAAAATCTACTATAATACCAATTCAAATACACACTGAATATCCAAGTACATTAGTGATTTAGGATCAACTATATGCAGGGGCAGATAATTATGGCAAGAAGCTATAAATAGTATCACATTAAAATCAAAGTGACTTTCTCATCCTCCACTATGATGTCCTATTTCTAAGTGCATTAAAGAATTGCCATTCTATAAACCCTTTCAAATACAACAGAAGTGAGTTCTGTAGACACACGCAGGCAAGCTTACAATTCAAGCTTTTGTTTATAAACTTTATCATTAACATTTTTTGGAAATAGAAGCTAACCAGTTATTAAAACATTTTTTCTTGTTATGTATTGACCAAATAGGCAAACCAAAAGCACTTTACACTTTTTTTTCTCTCCATAACAGAGGCAAAATTTTACAGGCCATTAATTTAAAAAAAAGATAATTAAAATATTTTATTTATTGAGACCAGTGAATGTGAGTGAGACATGCTGAAACTTTTGAAAACTTTGACCAAGTATCAAATACACGAAAGTATTTTAATATGATCGAAATTTAGGAAATTACTTGTAGGCATCGATAAAAAAAATCCCGTTTAATAAAATTTAATTATAATTTATATACATTTTAATTTACTTTATAGTTTCTACTAAGTTAATGACTATCTTGCTTGTTTCTTCAAAAAAAAAAAAAAATCAAATTAAATTTTATTATGTAGAAATATTTATGAATCAAACCTTAGATTACTATCAGCCAATTGTGTTTGTAACTAGAGAAAATAAATTGATCACCAAATGGTTTGTATGTTTAAAAAGATCCCATCTAATTATAGTATGCCTCTAAACAAACTAAAATTATCAACCAATCAGATTTTTGGTGAATTGGGTAAAAAAAAGTATCAGCCAATGACTCAAGGGAACAAGTTTAAAGTTAACTATTGTATCTATTATAATTTTCTGTTTTAGATGAATGATACATCTATGTGATACCTCCAGGTTTACTTGAAAACATTTAAAATTGTGTTTTTTTATCCTGCAGTTTTGTAAATAACAATCTGTCAGAAACAATCAGCATCAGATTGCTAAAAGTCCCACCCACAAGTCCCTCAACTCCATGTAAAACACATGTCAGGAAGTTTGAGAGTAAAATAACCAAGTGCTATGACTTGAATGAGAGCAAGTCAAGCCCCACATTTATAGTGAAGAAAACAGTTCAACATAAGGGAAAATGTGAATCTCATCTTTAACTTTCACAGTTCTAGCTAGAACATCTGTAAGGTTAATTCACGTGTCTAGCTAGTACATTAATAATGTTAACACTCTATGTTAAACAACTCTCACCACAAATTTAAACCCCAGGAAGTAGAGAACTACACAGCATCAACAGGTCAAAGTTCATATCCTTAGAGTGAAGAATAACACAGAAAAAGTTTAGCTCCAAATGTCCAACTTAGCTTCTCCTATATCCACTGAGAATCTGACACATTACCAAATGTTTGTAAAGTATTTTAGACAGGTCACTCACACAGTTGGTCAACTGGTCAGTGGCTTTGTCCTGCAGCAAATAATACAACTCAACCACGAGTCTTCTGCTGACCAACACATTGGCAAAATCACAACAATCCCAGAACACATTTTGAAATAATTGTAGACATTTGTTCATCCATTATTTCATAACTAACTAGTTGTGTCCTAAATATGTTAGCTAGTGACTAAACGTGTGTCCTATGTCAGTTAGGGACTGACATGTGTCCACAATGTGTCCGTTCTCTGTGTCAACCATTGACTCACTGTGTCCTTGCCCACCCAAGTTTGTGTGGTCAGCAACTGACTAGCACTGCCTTTCATGTAAAAGCTACCAGAAAGCCCTGTCCTGTCTGGCCCTGATCCTAGTCTATCTGAGGTAAATGGTAGAACAAATTTGTCTTGCTTCTACACAAGGCGAAGATGAATGACTCACTCAGTGTTGAGTGACTGATGGTTCATGTTGGATGACTGATGATGTGAAGCTAGTGACATCAAGATGACTTTGAGAAGATGACTTTGAGAAGATGACTGAAGAACATAGAAGGAGGCTGGCTACCAGTGGGTGCTACTCTCTACAGACCTAGTTTTGTGTATAGCTGATGACACTGTTATATCGGAACACTCGTCCGAACTTGTGTCCGTCTCAGATTTCTGAGGAAAAAAAAATAATTTTTATCACTGAGAAACTCATTGTTTGTAGTATTTAAGAGTAGTTTTTTTAACAAACTTTATTAACAAAATATTTTGAGTTTAAAAACAAAGTTGAAAACGAATCTACAATAGAACCATTGCCACCTAAATAGTACCTGTTTTAGAAATGTAAATATTGGTAATAAAATAATAAGGACATACAACAATTATCACTAATATAATTTAGACAAATTTTAAAAATATAATCTAACAAAGGCAAACAGAAATTATCAATTATATCTATGGCTATACACTAATCTCCAACCCACCATCCTATCAGGGGAGTTCACTTTGTTTTTCATTTTCTTGACAGTTTTCTCCCTGTCCGACAGACCATCTGGTATGTAGGTCAGTTTGGTCAGCTCCGCCTGCAGGTTTTCTGCACTGCCAGTGGACAGCAGACCGTTGTCACCACTGCCATCTTGGTTGCCTGACCTGTCACTGATGTCCTCCTCTGAGAAGACACCTTCAGAGCTCAGGGTGGAGAAGGACTGGCGGCAGGGGGGACGACAAGGTGTCTAGTCATCACTCACCTCCCCTTCCTCTTCCTCAGACCAGGATTCTTCAGAGTGCTAATGGAGATAGAAAATATTTTTCACATCTGGAATTTTTTTTTTAAATTTAAGGGGATAGGCTCAGGAACAAAACTTAAATAATGAGGCATTTAAGGGGTAATATTTGCATGCATTAGGGACTCTTCTGAAAATATAGTTGCCATGGCAATGGCGGCCATCTTGAAAAAAAACTTTTTGTGGAGTTTTAAAATTTCATAAACTAACATATATATTACCCCTTCTTCTACTAACACTAATAGAGTCAGCTGGCTAGTATTTTTTAACAGAAAAACCGCTACAAATATTTTTTTCCTCAAATTTTCAATTTTCTTTTAGTGAAATACTGTTAAATTTAGCATTGCTTTTAAAGATTTTTTACAATACCATATTTTAAAAATTAAAAAAAAAAATATCTAGAGTGTTTTCTTGAGTCTACACCAGGGGTCTCCAAACTACGGCCCGCGGGCCGGATACGGCCCGCGAAGTCCTCTCATCCGGCCCGCGGAGATGTTTTTGTCCAACGAAAAATCGTTTGTCGGTGGTTGCTGAGGAACTATGCCCAGAAAAATCAAAGACATGCCTGGAAGAAAATGGCCCCCGAACTGAAATTTGATAGTTAATGCGGCCCTCGGACTGAAAAGTTTGGAGACCCCTGGTCTACACCCTTAAACCAAAATTCATTATTTTAAAAGTGATCTATTATTAGTTATTATTAATCAACAACCATATAATAATACAAAATACATAACATAAATAAAAGTTGATTGCTAGTTTTCTGCTATTTTATAACAGACATTTTTTTTCTAAACTGGAGACAAATAATTTTTAAACAAAAATGTTGCAACACTAGCAAATATCATCACAGTCTTACTACACACAAAATTTAATAAGTAAAAAAATATTTTTAAATGGATTTTCTAACAGTTTGCAATTAATTTTTTTAGTGTTTGGTCAAAACGAAAAAATATATAGAAAAAACTACTTACTTTTCCAATACTTTTAAACATAACATTAAATACTTTTTTGTTAGCATTTGTAACCATTATACAAATGTATAAGGGGAGTGTTAGTTTAAAATATGCTCAGGATAATTATAGTTATATTTCTTTTCTGTCATTTTGATATGGTTAAAAATACCATTCTATTAACATATATTTTATTACTAATGATAATAATACATTATTTTTACCATAAACTTTATTAAGCCTGAAAAAAAAAATTCCAATAGTGTTTGCAGAAAATAAGATTAATAATCAGCTAAGGGGAGTGATTAATGGTAAACAACCACAAATAGGTAACTACATAAAATTTAGTAAATTTAATAAACTATTATAACTTTTTAAAAAAAAATAGCTGATTGTAATTTAAAAAGTGAAAAAGAAAACATGAAATAAAAATAAATAAAACAAAATTGTAAAATAATTTGATGGACTGACCTTGGTGTTTCTGAATCTAACAGAGGAGTTGTTTGCCTCCCTTTTCTGCAGGACACCGTCCACATTTTGTCCAGCTCTCTCCGTCCCCGCCTGGCTGTCCTCGTACCTGTCCTGACACCTGGGAGAGTTCTCAAAGATGTCAGAGCTTCTCCTCCGGCAGGACGGGCTCCTGTGTCTCCTGCTCATATCCTGGCTGCTGTGCACCCGTTTGACCCCCGACCCCTGCGAGGTCATAAGTACAAGATGGTGGTTGGTGGAGTTTGTGAGAGTCTGTTGTGTGAGACTGGTGTTGATGGTGTCACAGTCGGTGTGTGACGTCGTCGTTTGGATGACGCCCGAGTTAAGCTGTGAGCTAACAGAGTTCGTGCTGCTCTCCGGGAAATTTAAATTTTCATTCGAGTCTTTTTCTCGGACTGTGTACGTCTGGGGTTGAAGGTCAGCGGGGGATGCCATGGGCGAGCATGAACATGACCCTGAGCCAGTTTCATGGCGAGACGAGTCAACATCCGGAGATGATTTCTCGCTCATTGTTTCAAGCGGTTGGTGTTTGGGGCTAGACAGGGGAGATAAATCACAGGTGCTCTCAACATCGGCGCTGACCTGGGACGACCTTTTGCTGCTGCACGTGGCGTCACTACACCCGCCGTCACAGCCAAAGCAAACGTCGTTGATGTTATTGTCTTTGAATAGCGGTGATCGCCTGGAGATGGGAGACCTCTTGGTGCTGTTGTTGGCGCTGGAGGTCCTGCTACACAGCTCCTGACGTTTTTTGATGTTGTTCTCCATGTGTGAGATCCTCATCTCACAGCCGTCCACCTCGTCCTCGCTCCTGTACTCCCTGATGGCGGTCCCCGGCCCCAGGTACTTGAAAGTACCGGGGAACTGCGGGTGCTCTATGTGGTGTAGGCCAGCGGGGTTCAGAGCTTCAGCATTTCTGGCTTCGTGGTCCCGCGAGGGGGACTTGATGGGGGAGGCAATGTCCTTCATAGAGCCTCGGCTGTTATTGCGACGATGTCGAGACTTGCGCGTCCTCATCTTGGTTGGTGAGGGTAGAACCAGCTCCGAGCTTGTTGTCATGCTGCCTTCTGTGTTTTTCATGGAGTCTGGTCTGTGGGCACAAGGAAACAGTCTTACAGAAACTTTGTAAACATTCATTTAAAAGATTTTTAGCTTAATTTTTTTTCACATGAGCCAATATTGCCTATATGTAACAGAAAATTCAAATGTTAGGGAATCTTAAAAAAAAAAAACACTTACGTTGTGACCTCTGAGCCTGATCTATGAATACGTTTTTTGCCGAGCCTATCCAATTTCTCCTGGGCTTTGATGATTGGTCGAACTATGCTTTTCCTGCGTTTATTGTACAGTGTAAGCTGCTGCTCTCTTCTACAAAAGAAAACAAAAAAATTAATTAATATTAAATTCTTTGTGCATGAGGAGTACTGACAACTTGTAACTGGTTTGATAACTTACTAATATAATTCATAAGCTAATTCAATCAAAACGAAAGTTAGGACTTATCAAAGAGATTTTTCAGTTTGGTATGTACTATAGTTTAAGGGGGGGTGGGGCGGGGGGGGTGGACAGGTAGTCAACTTTCTTGAAAAAATTCAATTTTTTTCAACTAAAATCATTTTTGTATATCTTATTTCAAGGTGATTTTGATATCTAGATAAGGTTGACATCGAACTTTATTTTTTAATTTTTTTCTAAGTGATGTAAGCTTCTGTTTTCCCCAATAATATTATCAGAAAAGTAACTATTTATCAAGGTTATTCATGATTTTGCTAATACATACATTTATATGATAAAATATTTAGACAATATAGCTTCATTTTGAGTTTTCTCAGTTTTGTAAATTTTACGGTATAGAACTCGGTGGAAACAATTTAACTCAAAATGTGCCTATCAGAAATACTTGAAATAGCCACTGTATGTTACGAACATCTATATACTACTAAAACTCAAGTTTGTTTACATGTTTGAATATTCATTTTTTTATTTGTCTGATTTGGTACTGTAACAAAACTGCTCTATATGGGGGGCTGTAAAACAGTATGTAGGTAGAGAATAATTTTTGATTGCAGACAGACTGTTAATCACACATTTATTTAAAGACGTTAATTAATTTATTGATTTATTCATAGGTAGATTAACCACATTAATTTTAAAGTTTTAGAACAATGGCTAAACTTTGACTGAATAGTGACGTTTCATAACTCATTTTTTTGTTTGTTTTTTTTTTTTTATTTGTTATTGGGGAGAATCTGCATTATGTGTAGAGCTGTAAAATAGGATTTTGGGTGGTAAATATTGTTCGTTCTTAAACACACTGTTAATTACAAACTAATTTAAAGCCGTTAATTAATTTATTGATAGGTAGATTAACCACATTAATTATAAAAGTTTAGAGCAATATATTTAGTAATAGTAAAATGATTTCTTTTTACAACAATGTTTTCAACTATTTTTTTCTTAAAGCCTACATGTGAATGATAAGGTTGACTATCAGGACCTCGCGGGGGGGGGGGGGGGACGACAGGGCGTAGGGGGGGGGGGGGGGCACAGGGCAAGTGAAGTAGAGTTCACCTGTTTCTATGTTCTCAGCATATGAATGGATAGTGTGGTCAGAGCCACATGCTCGGCTGGAGTCGTTTTTTTTAAAATTCAAACATGTCTGAGACTTGGCGGGACACTGGGCAGGTGAAGTAGAGTTTTTAAAATATAAAAAACGTCTTTTTAAATGTGGGGTCTGGTTATTTTGGGATGATAAGATGTCATTTATGGATGACCCCCACCCCTCCGAAACCCACAGTTATCTAACTAGATAACGGGTAGTCTAGTATGTATCTACAAATTGTTAAAAAAGTTGTGAAAGTTTTAGAATTGTTTTCAAAGAAAATCACATGAATTTTTGCACAAAAAAATAATTTTGTAAGACATCAAAATTTTCCTTTGGCAAACCGTTCTTTGTCATGTCTACTAGGCATGTGCAAAATTATTTTGCATTGTTTTTAATTATTTGTTTAGTTATTTTGTTTCCATTATGTACCTCAAATATGTTCACATTGACCCCAAATTTCGCTAAAAATGAAAAATTGGTCCCAATTTAATACAATATTATGTTTAAAGTATTTTAAAGTTAATACAATTTTTAAAAAATCATGTATCTTATGATTTGTAACAAAATGTGTTTTAACTGCCGGTCCCCTTAACACATAAACACATAAACAAAGAAAAAAAGATTATAAAAAATAAGTGATGTTAATATATAATTTTGTAAATAATTAAAAATAATTTTGGCTTTTGTAATTTTTTTTTTAGCTCCCTTAAGTTTCAACAGATTTAGAAACATTTATCAAATATATTCTACAGAGAAGGTCAAACATATCCCAGAAAAATATACCTGTCAAATATATCCTAGAAAAATATAACAAAATATACCCCAGAAAAATATACCATTCTAATATATCCCACCAACACCCAAAATATCCCACCAACATCCAATGTATCCCACCAACGTATCCCACCAACAAATCCCACCAACATATCCCATAAAACCTACTTGATGAGTTCCCTTTCCCTTTTCTCCAGCTGCAGCATGCAGGCTGTCAGCTCCATGTACAGGTTGTTGGCGCGCTCAAGTTTTCTCTCGTAGTGCTCACGTACATCCTGCGCATGCCTGGACAAACATCAGACAGTTGATTAGCATCACAATATACGTGTGTCATAGGTAGGGGCTAATTAGTACTAGGTTATGTGGGTTAATAACCTGGTTATGTGTGGAGGTTAGTGAGTTTGACTTATATTAATGAGTTAATTAACACCAAGTTTTTTAAAGAGTCAATTAAGATCAGACCACTCTCTTAAGTGTTAATTAAAGTTGAACATAAACCTTTCATGTAACTTTGCAGCAATAACGTCATCTTACTACTCCAATTAATGGCTCATAACTATAAACCAAGGGAGAGAATGTTTACCGTAACTCCTCCTTCCTCCTTTTGATCAGTTCCTCCTCCAACTGTGGCAGGTTTGAACCTTCAGCCTTCATTTTCTGGAAGTTTTCTCTGATTTCTGTCCTCCATATAGACTGTTGGGAAATAAATCAATCAGAAGTTGGCCAGGATGGATCACACAATATCAGAGATGTAGCGAGGGGGGGGGGGTGCGGACTGCACAGGGTGACACTATTTAGGGGGTGACACCAAGGCAAAAATAGCAAATTATATAGAGAAAAACTTGAGGGGGGGGGGGGGAAGGGGGGGTGCAAATAAAAAATTTGAAAGTGTGTCCCCGGGAAGGGTTGCTACGCCATTAAGTGCCGCACCGGGTGACACCCGACCTCGCTACGCCACTGCACGATATATAACAACAGCAAGTGTTTTGAAACAGATGAAGTAGAAAATCCACAATATTACTGCAGCTAAAACATTCATCATAAAGGTCCTGCTATGATACACCAAAAACAAAATTATGGCCAACTTAAATTACAACCATCTCAAATATTGACCAACTCAAATATTGACCAGCCTAAACATCAAATATTGACCAGCCCAAATATTGACCTGTGAATCAGCAAACTCCTCCCTGGAATAACTCAGCAGTTCTGACGAGGCAATCTCCAGGTGCATCAAAATCTGCCGGAAGGATGGCCTGTTCCTAGGCTTGGCGCTCCTGCAGGTGAAGTAGATCTGATTAATATCTAACCATACACACATGGGTGGGTGATGAATACCAAATTAAGTAAATATAATCCAAGGTGGCCGCCATTAACATGGCAAAGGCAGAAAATATTCAGCCATTTTTTAATTTTTAGTTTTAACTCTTTAAGTTACAACTATATGGTAAATATGATAGCATTAGGTTTAGAAATAAGCAATAGGCTGATTTGGTTTTCATCACCCGCCATGCCCTTAAACTAAATCAAACTAAAGCAAAGAACTTAGAAGAACAGGAACTACAGTTACAAATAATTGATGTAACAAAGAGTTATAGCTTAAACTAATTTAGCCAACAATTAATGCAGTAAAAACTATAGCTAGACCAACTGATGCATCAAAAAATTATAGCTAGACCAACTGATGCATCAAACAACAGATGTAGCAATGAGCTGAACTGACCAGCACTGCCTCATGAGCAGCTTGAAACCCTCTGGGCAGGTGCTGGGCACGGGCAGATGGAGATAGTTGCTGCCCACTCCCCAGATGATGGCGGATGAGTCCACATCCTTATAGGGCACTTCAGCAGTCAGCAGCTCCCATAATACAACACCATAAGACCTACATACAACATAATCAACAGGTTAACATTATATGGCAGTCAGCAGCTCCCATAATACAACACCATAAGACCTACATACAACATAATCAACAGGTTAACATTATATGGCAGTCAGCAGCTCCCATAATACAACACCATAAGACCTACATACAACATAATCAACAGGTTAACATTATATGGCAGTCAGCAGCTCCCATAATACAACACCATAAGACCTACATACAACATAATCAACAGGTTAACATTTTGTGATTTGGTCCTGTTAGTAATTAATATTTTTTTCCTAATTGCATATCTTTGGACATCTTATCATTTAAGATATATTCCTAATGATTACCTAGTTGCATAATAAGCAATAGCTGATGTACATAGTCTGCTAAAATGGCGTTATAGTCTAATTCAAAAAATAGTTTTAGTGACGTAAGAAAATTGTATGGACTGACCAAATGTCGACTTTCTCGCTGCACATTTCGCTGCGAATGACCTCCGGGGCCATCCATGCCACTGTGCCAGCAAATGACATCTTTGTGCTCTTCTCATTCCATTCACGACTTGTGCCAAAATCAGAGATTTTTACAATGTCATTAGAAGCCACTAGCACACTGTGTGGGGATGACAAGAGGAAATTGGTAAGTCAAAATACATAACTTATGCAACACTTACCACTAATAATAGACTGAAATCAATGTACAATACCACTGTATTGATAAGTAGAAATGGATTCAAATCTTAAGTTATCATTTCAACAAGATATAGATGACAGGTAATTAGATATAAATATGTCAATCTTATAAAAATATTATTTTAAAATTTATTTTGATAATTTATACAAAAATACAAATGTTCATAAAATTCCAAAAACCGAAGAGGTTAGCTGTAAAACTTACTTGGGTGACTTCAAGTCCCGATGTATAATTTTGTGAGAGTGTAGGTAGTTCATGCCACTGGCAATCTGCTTGGCCCACTCTAAGACCAGGGTGGGAGGGATCTCCTTGCCATCTCGTAACACCTCGTATTATTTTAAAATTTATTTTGATAATTTATACAAAAATACAAATGTTCATAAAATTCCAAAAAACCGAAGAGGTTAGCTGTAAAACTTACTTGAGTGACTTCAAGTCCCGATGTATAATTTTGTGAGAGTGTAGGTAGTTCATGCCACTGGCAATCTGCTTGGCCCACTCTAAGACCAGGGTGGGAGGGATCTCCTTGCCATCTCGTGACACCTCGTACAGCTGACCGTATGGACAGTACTCCATGATGATACAGTAGCATGGTGCCTGCGTACACACTCCCCTGTTGGAAAGATGGAATAATATACAGCTTTAGTGTACATTTAATCAAGTTCATCTGGGAACGCTAATCTTTTAGTGACCAATATATATAAATTCGTGTAACTGTTACATTTAATATTAGCAAATCAATATCAATATTATTAGGAATTAGGGTTATAGTCAACTAAACATTAATTTGTAGGAGGCCTAACTAATAAAATTTTAAACAAATTAAATGGGTTTACTTAAAAGAAATAATATTGGGGTGATTCAGGACTTACTTGAAAGAAATATTGGGGCGATTCAGGACTTATTTGAAAGAAATAATATTGGGGTGATTCAGGACTTACTTAAAAGAAATAATATTGGGGTGATTCAGGACTTATTTGAAAGAAATAATGCTGGGGTGATTCAGGACTTACTTGAAAGAAATAATATTGGGGTGATTCAGGACTTACTTGAAAGAAATAATATTGGGGTGATTCAGGACTTACTTGAAAGAAATATTGGGGTGATTCAGGACTTATTTGAAAGAAACAATGCTGGGGTGATTCAGGACTTACTTGAAAAAAATAATATTGGGGTGATTCAGGACTTACTTGAAAGAAATAATATTGGGGTGATTCAGGACTTACTTTAAAGAAATATTGGGGTGATTCAGGACTTACTTGAAAGAAATAATATTGGGGTGATTCAGGACTTATTTGAAAGAAATAATGTTAGGGTGATTCAGGACTTACTTGAAAGAAATAATGTTAGGGTGATTGAGGACTTACTTGAAAGAAATAATGTTGGGCTGATTCAGGACTTATTTGAAAGAAACAATGCTGGGGTGATTCAGGACTTACTTGAAAGAAATAATATTGGGGTGATTCAGGACTTACTTGAAAGAAATAATATTGGGGTGATTCAGGACTTACTTGAAAGAAATAATGTTGGGGTGATTGAGGACTTACTTGAAAGAAATAATGTTGGGGTGATTGAGCTTGCGGAGATTGCGAATGTCTGTCTCCTTGACGTCCCTGACCTTCTTGACGGCCACCTCCTCGTTGCACAACTTGCCCAGAAACACGGCACCTTGAGCACCACTGCCAGCCACTGCAGGTCTGTGATGCTCTCAAATGGGATCTCCCAGTCGTCAGATGATGATACTAACAAACATTGAAATACATTATGATACTAATACAACCAAATGTTTTAACACATTAATGCTAGTATAAAGATAGATGAGTTTAAAAAAACTAACTGATGATGATACTAATACAACCAAACATTGAAACTCATTAGTGCTGGTATAAAGATAGATGAGTTATGGAAAAAATTAACTAGCAAATACAAGAAAACATGTATATACATGTGTATAAAGTGTATTTAATCAGGGTATGTTGATGCGAACGAAAGTTGGTGCTAAAGATTAAATGGAATGATGATGCGGAGAAAAGATATTGACGTTTTTAATAGAAAATGTTTGCTTTGCATTGTGTGTGAGTGAGTTATGTGTTGATCGTTTTAGAGTAAGGATGTAGATGACCTTTTGTGACTCAATTAGGGAAGTGATTTCGTGAGACTAGTACCAGAATAAAAAGTGGAAGAAAACACTCATTTAAATCTTGTCAACTAATTGTCACATGTACCATCTAGATTAGTCTAGCTTATAAATAGCATAATGACTGCCTATGGTTGTGGTATTCTCACAAGGAAGTGAATCAAATGCTCAACCCTCTTACAGTCGCAACATTTTGGTGGGGACAGCAAAAGCAATAAGTCAGGAGAAGGTAAAATCACTGAGTTTTGTATCGAGACAGTCAACGACAGCAATTTATATGACCGTGTTAGGAAGAATCGTTCTATGAGGACCGTGTCGTGACGACCAGTGACAGCCGTGAAACCGGCTGGGTGGATATGGATGTATTACGAGACCCTCCTCAGTGCAGAACAATGCCACTCGAACGTTATTGCAAGATTGTTCAACAAAGCACACAGCAATGAACTATTTAACCGCTAGGCTGTTGTGATAGAAAGCTGACTAAGCATACTCCATGTGATCTTGGCCTCGGACCGTTAGCAAAATAACGCCGGTCTGAACAACTTGCAGATTCGTCATTCCTGCTACAAACACTGTTGGACTTTTATTATATACGAGCTGACCCGCGACGTAACATGCGCCGATATCCATGGGCGGTACTACAGTGCCGCCAGACCCCGCAATGCGGGGGTGGGGGGTGCACGCCATTTAGGGGCCCACAGCCGACCATAATCAAGTTTTTATAGTTAAAAAAAATAAATTTTCTTGCATTTTTGACATGATGGATGTTTTGTAAAAAGAATACTGCGGTTGTATAATCTTTATTCTATAGGCACCATCCTACCTTCTTGTAAATTCTTTTTTTCCCTTTGTTTTTAAACCATAAGCTGTAGTGTGAAAGATTGGCTAACGTTCAAACCACTTCCACGACTTATTTCACTCTTTTAAATAGTCAAATATTGGTGCTCATAAGCTCCTTTTAATAGATTTGTAATAAACAAACTAAAAAGCAATTACTTCTCTTAATTATTGCTTTTTTAAAAAATACATACTAAAGAATGACATTGTATAAAAAGGAAATGTATTTAAAATTAATAATATAAATTTTTATCCTGTATCCTATTTTCGTATTATATATATATATATATATATATATATATATATATATATATATATATATATATTCTGGGGGCCCAGAAATTGTTTTTGCGGTGTGGCCCTTTTTTTCTAGTTTCGCCACTGCCGCTATCTAGTTGTCTTTTTTTCTGTTTATCAGATATTCATAATTTTTTAATTCGACACAATTGGGAACTGCTGCTAAGGCTACAATTAATGTGGATAAGACTCATATTTATAATATAAATAACTTAAGAAAGATACTTAAATTTGACGAATATAGGGATGATTTTGACTCATGTATCAAACGATTTGAGACCATAACGAAAACTACCAAAATTCATGAGTCCCAGTGGGGGACACATTTATTAATGCTGATCGAAGGGTAAGGTCTGGATGCCTGCCAGTGTCTAACTGTGGATGAAATGAAGAACTATCCGACCCTGAAACAGACACTATTGAAATTTTATCATCTGAACGAGGTGTATCGAATTAAGTTTCAAGACTTACTGCCTGAGAATAATGAGGATTTTAAAATATACATCAACAACATAAAAACAGCTTTTGATAAGTGGTTCGAAGCATTTGGGCTGGAGCCGACTGTACAAAATTTGAAAGAATTTATCCTGGTTAATAAATTCCTAACTTCAGTGGACAAACGTTTGTTCAGTTATCTACAAGAACGAAAACCATGAACCCTAGATACTGTAGAAATAACAGGCGGCTAAACCTTACAGACCCATAAGGAGAATGCAGGACTATAATAATATCTTTACTGCACAAACATTTTGTATATATATACATACAAATGGTATGTATATATATATATATATATATATATATATATATATATATATATATATATATATATATATATATATAAAATTATTTAAAGAAAATCACACTTTTCTCCATTTTAGTGCATTATTACATACAACCTTGTTATTAAAACGTTTTTATGCATTTGAAAACTTTGTTTTATTAGTCTGATATGGTTTCTTTCATTTGTGCGCCTTATAACATATTTAAAATATATTGAGTTTTATAAGCAAATTAAATTTCTTACCTTCCGTTGTTTTTACTTGTATGACATGTATTAAAGTTGTTATATTAAAAAAGGTGCTTTCATTTTTAAAGAAATAAAACGCCGCGTCTCTTAATGTTGAATTATAATCGATTATGTCTAGTTTAATCTTTGGTTGGTTGTATAGGGACACGAGGAAGTAAATGACACAAATGCAACCGATGTCTCGATATCTCAATATCTCGTAAAGTTATGGGATATCATAGGGCTATTCCTGTAACTATGGTACATCCAGAGACCAAAAGAATGTACAGGGAACAATTCTCTATTACAGTGGTTCCCAACCTTTTTGAGTGGCGACCCCCTTTTATAAAAAGTAAGTGACCCGCGACCCCCATAGAATTAAAAAGCCGAAATTAGTATGGAAATTAATAAACACTAAAATAAAATTTTCTAGTAGACTTTCAATATGAACTACTGTTGATAACTATTTTTATAGCATGAGTAAAATTGCATACTATTCACTAAACCTTCGTGGTTAAGTTTTTTTAATTTAAAAAAAAAATTGTTAACGCCAACCTATGTCATTATAATTATCTTAATTTTGTTTTTAATCGAAGAATAATGTTGAAAATATATTTTCGAAAAGTCAATCAATTTTACGTTTGGGTATGAATGGTGAATACTACATCAAAATTGTGTCTGCAGTTTTTCATCTTACTCGGAATCATTCTTCAAATCAAAGAATTAATCTTGTAATTCATCGGGAATGCTGGCAACATCAAGGGAAGAAGAGAATGGGTAATGCGTAAATGCAGATTCTTCTTTTTTTCAGCTCAGAGAAATAGCGATGCAGTTCGTTTTCAATAGATTCAAGATGACCAGAAATCGCTTCTTTCAAAATTTTAATTATCTCACAGATTCATCTACCACACCGCAGAGTTTCTCAAATGTACAACATTTCCAAGATTTATTTTCTTTACCGATTTTGCAGCTTTGATAAAAATGTCCCGAGATTATCATGGAAAGTTATAATATTCGTTCATTTTCCCTGAAGCTTCAGAATCATGTTAAGCTTATCTTGATTTTCGAACACATCTGCTGGGTATGATACTCTCTCCAACCACTCTATGTCGTTTTAAGTATACCAAGAAGTCTTTGTTTCCTTTGCACTTCCAAGAACAATTTGATTTCAGATTTCAATTAAAAAACACAATTTACAACATTTCGTCTGACAGCCAGCGTACTGTAGTGTAGAAGAGCAGAACCTCGTGATCTATATTAATGTTTTTGCTCAGTTCTTTGAAGGCTCCAGATTTTATATAATTTACGACTTATACTAGCAATGGACTCTTGATGTCGATTGGTTAGGGCAATGGTTAGGGAGCTAAATCTTTTCTGTTTTCTGAAAGCCCGATTTTGAGCTAAACATAGATGGCGCACCAGCCGTACAAACCCCCACAGCCGTTCTAACCCATTTTAATCATCTAATTTCAAAAAAGGTATTTATTTTCTCCATGCTATCTTCACAAAAGAGCAACTCTTCTTTGCTATAATTCGCATGAATATAGACACAGACCAGCAACTGCGAACACGAACTCACGTCTGTTGATTTATCAACATGAAAAGCAGACAATGGTGAAAGCTTAATTTCGATAAAAATGTGTTATTTAACATTTACGTACATGCAGCGTTTGGTGAGATTTTCTCCTATTGTTTTTTTTTTTTTTTTTTTTGCTTGGCATTGTCTATCGCGACTTCATTTGATGCTTGCACTAATGCTGTTGAAAACTTCCTGTTCGATCAAGTCTCTGGCGTTTGCAACTAGCTTCTTACCGACGAAAGAACTCCATATATTTTTGGTGTGTTCCGAATGACTTGTCTCAAGTGGCGTTTTAGTTTTGAATATTTCATAGATTCGTGATTGAGAACAACTTTGTACAGTGCGCTTTGTTTCTTCTCTATTACATTTACAGTGTTGTTAATGAAGCCGAATATAAAAAATTCTTCTAAATATGTATGTTTTGTTTCAAATTACTATGGTTTAGTATACCAGTTGGCGACCCCCCAGAAAGACCTTCGCGACCCCCAGGGGGGTCGCGACCCCCAGGTTGGGAACCCGTGCTCTATTAAGTGTACTGAACACCGACATTGAAGTAGGCATATGCTTCAATACTATTCGTTGTTCTTTCACAATTTGAAAGCCAGACACATTGACAGCCAAACACAAAGACAGCCATACAGACATATATATATATATATATATATATATATATATATATATATATATATATATATATATATATATATATATATATATAAATATATATATATATATATAATGCACGGATATCTATATTTTTGTCTAATTGATTTTTCGTTTTGTCATATGAAACGATTTAATGATTACTAATACAAATGTGGCAAGATGATATAACAAATTTAAAAATATTTTTAATTTCAAGCTTTTAAATTAACTGAAAATAAAAAAATAAAACTAATTTGCTCTCTTTTATAAAAAGTTTGGTCTCTAATCAGATCTCTCACATACTTACTAGACCAAAGCTTTGATTAAATTAACCTTATTAATTCTATTGTAATATTTACAGTGCATTTAAAAGATTATTGCAATAAATATTTTTTAAATTTGTTTTATTTTCCACGTTTAGTCATTCTTTCTAAACGACATAACCCGAAACTTAAAAATAACTAGAATTTTAATAGAAAAAAAGGAAATTTAACAGGAAACGGATCAGTTTATTTTCCATGCAACATAAAGCTTTCCAAGACCGAACTTTAATTAAAACCAATTTTTTTTTTTCTAGGCCACAATATTACCAGAACTGGAATTTTCTCGGAAACGAAAATTTAACTGGAACTGGAAATTAAATCTACACGGAAATTGAACTTGAAACTTTGCAGGATTTGGAACTTTTTACCGAAATCGGAAAATCAACCTGAGCCGAAACCTTTTTTAGAATTCAAGCTCTGGGGATCGATCGAACCCAGGTAAAGACCTACTACTCCAAACTCTTTTAATTTTCTTTTTTTTTTATTCGCTTCGGCTTCATAAATGAATGATCAGTGATAATACAGACTCCCGCATCTATATTTCAACGATTTCATTCGTGTCTTTTCTGGTCTTTCCTCTTACTCTTTCCACGTGGATTTCAAACCGGTACCTGCTTAGTGATATTATTTACTGTCTTTCTTACAATGTGCCTTAACAATCACATTTTCGTTGCTCTTAATTCAGTCTCCACTGTCTGTTACGTCCCTTGTATTATGTATATCCTGGTTACCATGGTTACGTCCCTTGAGTGTTTAGTGTGTTTACCGTGATGTGTAGCTAATGTGCCCGTCTGCAGCAGTTAACTAAAAATAGAGACAGAGACTATGCGTATTGTCTGAGCTGTGTATATATAAGAATAAATTACTAAGGTTAACACGGAAAACTGTGTTTGGTCTAAGGGGGTCATCCATAAATAACGTCACGCTTTTTTTGACGATTTTTACCTCCCCCCTCCCCTCCGTCACACATCGTCACAAAAAGCCAGACCCCCCGCCCATAAAATGACGTCACACCTCAGCCTACAACCCCCCTCAAAATTGCAGTTGAATGTTTCTTTAAACATCGATATTTTTCCAAAATCTTGTCTGAACTATGTCAAAATAGAGTGTTTTAATCAATTCCCATTGTAATTTATTAAATCAGTTTTCTAAAACGCGAAATAACGTCTAAAATTCGTTTTCTAACATTGCTTTTTTTTATAATGCAAAAGTGTGACGTCGCACCATCTGAACCCCCCCCCCCCCTTCCCCCTTCACACATCGTCACAAAATTACGGACCCCCTCCCCCCTGTGAGTGTGAAGTCATTTATGGACGACCCCTAAATGAGAGAACCAAGTAAAGTAACATTATCTATATTAATTATCATACGCAGTTTATTTCCGATTCCAGCATAAACACTTATACACAAACCTTAACGTACCTCGGTTTTTAAATGTTCTCAATTCTAATATTAGGGAATATCAATAGGTGTTGAGTTTATTTTTAAGTCCGACGTATATAAAACGCTTGACGCTGGTCTCTCTTTTGATATAAAAAAGATATCGATTTCGTGACTATCGATTTTGTAAATGTTTGTTTCTTGAACGTTAGACGTAGGTCACATGGTAGAGAACTTGTGTCAATTCTCTACTAAACCAGTTATATTTTTACTAAACAGGAAACAATTTTAACATCAGAAGAAGACTTAGTCATTACTAAATATATTTATATATATAAATCAATATATATGTGTGTGTGTGTGTGTTCGTCTTTTATTCATTACTACACCTTTTATTGCATCGCCATGAAACTTTTGGAAGTTGTTGAGAATACTCCTGGAGAGGTTTCTGTAAAACAATCAATTCCGAATTCGCAAGGGTGGCAACCCGGTAAGGTGCGATTCGATTCTTCTCTACATACATTAAATTAAAATATAAGTCGATTGCGGTTTGACAGTTCATCCGATCGCCATGAAACTTTGGGGAGTTGATTACAACACTCCTGGGGAGGTTTTTGCAAACAAAATACCTTTTTTTAAATCCCCTCAAGGGCAGCGCCCCAGTAGGATGCGATGTTTCTCTATATACGGTGTATAAAAAAGTCCTTTGCGGTTCGACACCGTTTATCCGAGTGCCATGAAACTTTGGGGAGTTGATGCGAATACTTTCGAAAAGATTTCTTTGAAAAAAAAATTTTATATGGGCGGTTCCGTTAATACCCGGTTTGACGCCCATAGTTCCAGAGCGGCTATCTTAGCACTTAGCATCCGTAAATCGGACATCCTGTATAGCGGTTAACGGGTACTACTATTCAGAGGTAAAACTACAACAGGCGCAACC